CGTTAACTTCCAAAATCCTGGAGTTTATTACTGGTACTTTGCCCATCTAAACTAAGAATGGAGTTTTCAATTTCAATGATAAAATCAATGATAAAAATGAGTCCCTATGTTTAAACGATTATGTTTTTATAAATCTCTCCCCAGTCCCAGTTTATCTACTTTTCAAAGACTTTGTACAACTTATTTCATGGAGATCCTGAAGAAGAACTGTTGTATCGTGCCATTGCTGCTGTGACCAGCCTCCTCCTGCGAATGGAAGAAGTAGGGAGGAAGCTGCAGAACCCTGCATCTCCAGTCAAGACTCCATCACCAGAGACAGGTACCAGTCCAACATACACCACTCAGGGCAATGGATCACCGCAACAAATGGACAGTGCTGTCTCCCAGCCTCCCAAAGAAAATACAGAGTGGTCTTTTGCTTTTGAACAGATCCTCGCATCTCTTCTAAATGAACCTTCCCTTGTTCGATTCTTTGAAAAGCCTACCGATTTGAAAGCCAAGTTAGAAGCTGCGAGGACCTCTCAAATCCGAGCTAGCAAACGAGTGTAAGAACTGTCAGTCTGCTACACTAACCACTACATGAAGAGGCCACATTTCCTGTTGCATTCTGTTCTCAGATGTGTTGAAGTTCTCAATCACTTTTATAACATTTTCAGGGCTACAATGCAGTTTATTACTTAGGTAGAGCCTGCACTTCCAATGCACTATATACAGTATAGATATTTGCATTCCAAGAGTGAGAACTATTCTTGTGATATAGTATACAGTTAATGTTGTGCTATCTTATTGTTATATGGGGAAAATGCTTCTTTTGAAAAAAGTCTGTGCTTAACTCCCAATCTTTTTCGGACAATTCATGCTGTAAGGTAGGACAACTACATGACCAATAGACTAGATGGAAATGCTGAACTTTGCTTGATGCTAAGGTTGAAATGCAGATGCACGAAATATGATTTGATATGAATATTCCATTACCTGCTGTAGAAAGCTCATCAGTCAGTGGTGTCTACATTCTCCTGAGGGCAGCAAGCTTAATATAACACTAGATGCAATGGTTATTTCACACACCTTGACGAACAAAAGTAATGAATTCTCTGTACAGAAATAATGATTTCACTGACTTGCTACCGTGTTTCCCCGAAAATAAGACACTGTCTTATATTTTTTTTGCCCCCAAAAAACACACTAGGTCTTATTTTCAGGGGATGTCTTATTTTTTTTTTTTATGTGCAACAAAATGTACAACAATCCAAAGTTATCTGGTATCACTCCGCCTGTCACAGTAACCGGCGCTATAGAGGAATATCGGCTAATGCGGTTTTGCTCCCTCCGCTGCCGCAGCCTTGCTTTCTACAGCGCCGGCTTCCTTTGCCACCAGGGACAGAGGTACCAGCGGTGCAGCAGTGGGGACATCAGACAGTGGACAGCGTGGTAAAGTACGGCACCATTTACCAGTACACATTACAGTACGGTACCATTACATTAAGCAGTGCCTTCAGGGGAACAGCAGTTGGTGAAGTCTGGAGGGAGTCCCCTGTCATCCCCTTAATACAGTATGTCCCTGCAGGCTGATACCATCTCTCCTGCAAGTTCCCCCTCACATGCTACCACCAAACTAGGTCTTATTTTCGGGGTAGGTCTTATATTACAGGAATCTTGAAAAAAAAGTACTAGGTCTTACTTTCGGGGAAACAGGGTAACAGTTTTTGATGCACTTTCAATAAAAACATCACTTCGCTCTCCCCTGGGATTCTGCTACAATAGTCAGAACCTATATTTTACATGTTAGTAAATTACATTTTTTACTGTGTGAATCGAGTGCAAACAGTACTCAGATTTGGGTAAGCTTTACACATGCCATAGAGAGAGACACTATAGAGAATAATGGCAGTCCACTGGTGCATGTTTTAATATACAGAGAGAGACTGCAGTGGCAGTTACCTTTTCTCAGCTTTTGGAACATGACCTCGAGCTTTGTATGCACAATTTATCTTGGAATATATATTGGCTACTCCTGGTCTTGGAAGGCCATACAGTGATTTGTCACATTGAATGTACACATTGCTAATGATCCCTTTTTTATGCCTGCCTGGTTTAGCCCTAGGAACACTGAGATTATTTCCCTTATAGATTGAACATATACCAGTAACAAAGTAAAAACAGTGAAGCGCCACAGACTGTCAGTTCTTAATAGGACTTGCTTTTAGGCATACTGCAGGATGCTGCCCCAAAGAAGCCGGGAAAGCTGGAAATCTGGGAAATAAGCACATCATGTTCTGATGAAGGGGGCATGCCCCGGAAACGCGTTAACGTCACCACTATACTGGTATCACCTAGTGGACATCTCACTGCTTGTCAGTCCTCACCTTATGACTTTGTGACACTCATGTTTGTGAGTATGATTCGGTTTTTCATTTATGTTTATTGAAATAAAAGTGATCTGCACCAGGAAAGGCGCCCCTCTTTGTGCTTATTTCCCAGATTGAACATATACGACTGAGCATTTGGTTTTATGTGTAATGCTAGCTGTACACGAACAATACCATAATTCAGCATGACATTTGTTATAAGAAAACATTTATGAGAATTCTAACGCAGGTTGGCAGCTCGGTTAACGGGCAATCATGGCAACCATGTCAATCAAAAAGGTTGATAGATCCAGTCAAATTTAACTATATCAATCTTTTCTTTGATTGTGTACAGTTGCATGTATGGCTGCCATAAGATAATGAAGTGGAATGGTGCTCAGTTCTTAGGGCAATATACACCAGTATCCAGAGCTTCTGTTTGAGTTTAGACCTGTGTTGGAGTACTGCATTTTATTCTGCTTTTGTTTTTATTTGTTTTGTTGCTTATACAGATTTTGCAGAGCAGATTCAGTCCCTTGTGGACAATAGTTGAGTATTAGTTTTCCTACTCAAAAGATTGAATTGTTTACTTGCAGCAGTGTTTAACTATTGTTGCATATTTTGGCCAGTTTTTCACTTCTTGCAGTACTGTATGTAATGGGATGACTTGAAATACATTTGACATCTACATACCATAATGAAGCTATTATGGTGACTTAGCCAATATTGTTGAAAATGCAATATGTTCTTCATTAGTAGCTAATCTCTTAAGTACTCTGGAGCTCATGCAGTAAAAGTAGTGAGGGTTCTTTGGCCAGGCTAAGCAGTTCTACCTACTGGTAACCTGCTGCTTTTCACCTGTAATCAGCTACAGATTGGAACTGGAATTGGAAGTGGAGCCGATATATACCATTGCCGGTCCTAACTGTAGATGTACCGAAGGGCCTAACGCTGAAGGAAACCCAACAATTTGTCTGCAGTAATACAAATTGGGTATCCAATTCTGCATTGGCTGGCTTCTTATGAATATTATAAGCGTAAGAAGCATTTCAGTCTCAAAGTTGCAGCTTATACCACTTGAGCACTGAAAAAATATGTACCTTTTTGTCTTCATGGGTAAAACCATTTAGCTCCCAGTATAGAACTATGGTATTGAAGGTCCCTTTTTGAAGACAGAAGCTCCCACACGCTATCACCCCCACATTTCTGTTCTGAAAGATTGGCTGAGGTTATAAGACAAATTCGAATGTTTTAGACCTAATCATTCAATATTTAGGTCATCGGATATCCTTTCAGATTTGAAATTGCCAAGGTGAAGGATGTGAACAACCTTTTGCCATATAGTTGCTTATATGTGGTTCTTATACAATCACAAACATTGTCCCAACTTTGAATGTCTGTAATGGGCAGAGGTGATCAACAATGTGGTTACTAAACTCTGTTCTTGATCTCACCGAGACCAATTTGTATTGCACAGCTCAGTTTCTCTGAGTATAGGCAAATTTACAGATGCAAATACAGTATATTTGGTCACAAAGAACTTTTAAGGCCAATACTGGGTTAATTTACAAAATAGCTTTTTCCACTTTCTGATACAATAGGTACATTTTATTGATGTGTGCATGATTATATATTGGACCAAGAGCCTGACAGCCATGATGTTTTTTTTTAATTATTAGCTCTGGGCTTGTCTAGTTGTATATATGCAGAGAATATAAAATAACCTTTTCTCTTGTCTCCAAATCACAAATGGATGAAGCCATCTAGAAACTACTAAAAACCTGTCATCTCTAATTTTCCTGCAGATCAGGCTTTGGTGAACCTGAAAATGCACGGTGAATTAGAATTTACTGGCTTGCTTGAATAAGTATATCCCCCACATGCGCTAACTTCATCAGTTTAGGAAAATGTTTAAAGGAGAACTATGAGGCGAGTGAAAATCACTCAGCCTCATAGTTCTAGCCGACCTGTGACAATGAAACTGTCGCAGGTCAACTCAATAGATCGGGAAGTGAGCGAAACACATAGCTTTGCTCGCTCACTTCTCGATCTGTCCATGTCAATCAATGCTCCCTGCAGGGATCCCCCCCTCCCCTGTGCGGTCCTCCAGCGCTGACAAGCGGAACAGATGGGGGAGGAGGCAGGCCGAGCTGGCTCTGCCTCTAGATAGGCTGTCAATCCCGCAGCTTGGTGGATCTCGACAATAAGCGGCGTCTCAGTATGCCGCGAGCTGTAGCTTGCGGTATACTGAGCTTAGGGTGACGGGAGGATGCTAGTTTGTGTCCTCCCGTGACCCTTAGGAGAACTATGGGGAAAAGCCCTGACCCCATAGTCCTCCTTTAATACCAAATGCTGCATAACTTGCTCATGTCTAGTCACAGGTCTTCATCTTTTTCTAGTACAAGTAATATAGTCATAAGCAAAATCAGAAGTACTTGAATGTGAAACAAAAACAATTTTTCTGCAACTAATTCTTTATTTCTGGCATACGCATTATGCTTTGGTGGGATCCAGTCAATCCTTATTAAAAATCCCTATAACTGCACTGTCATAACTTGACTATTCCATGAACCTTAGGCTGTTAAAATAGGAGCCATGGTTTACCTGTCAATAAGAGGAAACCGTTTTCTAAGAAATATAAAGAAGGCCACATACACAGCCTGTACGTGTGGAAGATTTTGCTTAAAATGCTGTTTTTTGGGGGGTTTTTTTAATATATGAAAAAGTCTATTAGAATGAAGTTCCTCTCTTAAACTGCACAGTTTGTTATTAAATTAAACGTTCTATGGCAGTTGTATATCCTTTATATTTACCTGCCCTCAATTCAGTGACCATGGAGTGTAAGCTCTCCCCTGAATTGAGAGTGTAGAGTGCATGTGTGGGTGATATCCATATCTGTCACTACTCCTGCCTGCTGGAAGCCAAAGCTGGGAAGGAGAGAGTCTGGAGGAGGTGCCGGGTGTTTCCCACATATTCTGACCATTAACAATATTTGGCTGCAATACACTGTGTAAGCAGCTAGCAAACCAATATTTCAACCCCGGTGCTCTGCTTTTAACTCCGACCCTTGCTCCAGTTATGATGATTTTCCGCTGTCAAGGGCAGGTCAGTATCAGACTTGCAGGGGTCTGCAGGCAGAGGAACCTACAATATAAGTGTAACTGCAGGAAGTAGATGCTTAGGAGATTGCCTCATAGAATATCATGAAAGCTGGCGCGGCCAGTGCGCAGAAGATAGCCCAAGAGGTCATGGATACAATTTCAAGGTAAGTATGCATCTGGGGAGGGGGGCTAGGTTAGCACAGTATGTAGGGGGGTGTAGGGCAAAAAAACATAAGGGTTTGTAGC